ATGATGGATGGACTGAAAATTGGCAAACTGATTTTATGAATGAATAAGAAATTATACTTGTCATAAATACAGCAAGATCAAATAGAGAACTGTTTAGAGCTATTCCTCCTCCCGAGCTTTCACTCTGTTAAGCGCCATTTCATAAGTCAACCTCCTAGGGAAGAAATCATGCAAATACTCCAGTTCATCGTTTTCCAGCACATATTCGGCGACTTCATCGTAATCCACATTATCGCCGTATTGCTTAGCGACACTCTTGACTAGATGTTCTATGAATAATTCAGCTCCTTTAGCCACGCAAAATAATGCTTCAGATGAGGGAGGGAGAGCGTCGGGAACGGTAGCAATGATTGTTTTTACCCGAGATAATGGGAGAGCCGTTTGACCGGCACCATCGCCACCAGATTCATCTAATAGTGATTCATTCATTCGTGGGGAATTCTGGTCCACTGAGTCCATCACTATCCTAAATATTACTCACTGATACTAAATACTATTTCGACAAAAAGATTCGAGAAAAGTGAAAAAATCAGTGTTACGAAATGAATAGTTCTAAACCAGAGACGGATGTAGGCATTATAATATGAATGCATCGTCAGGAATCCACATTGATCATAAATCGTTTCGACTACTACTTTGCAGATTTTGGTTCACTGGATCATCTATTAGAGTAGCAATTAATTACAGAGTGTAACAGGGTTTTCCAGAACGAGTAATGGCTCCTCTTGAGCCTTGTTTAGTTACTAACGAGTAGAGATAAGCCCGTATGTTCGTGTGGTGCATTGAGTATTTCAAGACTACTAATTTCCAATTAGACTCCTTGATGTGATTTATAACATTGTCAATACTGAACGACAAAAAATTTGAAAAAACCATTAAGTGGTTGAGAGTAATGAACTATACATGCAATTTACACTGCTAGTCTTGTTATCAATTATCAGAAGTATAAACTACAGCAACGACGCACCAATCTCAAAAAATTGAAACTGTATACGCTGCTATCCACTTTTTAAAAAACTGGTTCGTATGATAACACACTGTTATCAACTGTTCTAGATCCGGTTTGCGAAAAAGTATGGAAAACATCTCCAAGTGAAACGTAAATTACAACTTCAGCTAGGAAGATATTACTCCGACATAGCGAACTAGCTATAGCATATGTGATAATCATCAGAAGCACCATCTTTGATTACACGTGACAATAGAATCTTCTATCAATTCACCAGTAAGAACGAACTATTAATAGGCGCTTATCATCACGGGAGTCAAGCAAGCAGGCACCCCCCACTGCCGAGTGGTACTTTGCGTACTTTCTTTGTGTTTCCTCCTCACTACACTGCTTGTTCAATGTTTAGTGTACATCATAAAGGCAAGTTCTTAACATTGACAGGGGCGAGGACTATCACAAAGGAGAACTAGAGAAAAGGTACAGCGTTGTAAGCAGCAGATCGAAACGCAGATGAGAAGTGCTACTCGCATACTTTATTGCAAAAAGGATACTGTATCCCGAATCTATGTAAATATGAGTAGCAGTGATTAGGGAAGGAGAGGTTTTGGTAAACAAAGCATGACGAGTGCAGAGTGCAACTCATATCACTACGGATCTATCGCGTTGACACATCTCAACCACCATCAGTGTTCTATGGAATTGAGCATGTTTCTCCAGAAGTAGTTGGAACATGGAATGGTATTAGAGCTACACATATAGATGTACAAAACTGCGCGGTGCTAAACGTTGGAACTCCTCAATACAAAAAAAAAGTGAAACTACGACCTTGAGATCGTCAAAGCCACTTTGCTTGCAGACAACAAAGCAATTTTCATGTCAAAGTAAAGTGCTGAAGCTACTACTGTTTACTGTACAATTAGTCCCTCAGAGTAGAAATTAAAAAAACGACACTGCAAAACGATTTTTTTT